AGCTCCCGGCCGGCCCACAGAGCTTCGTGAATTAACATTAACATGTAGTCCGAGTTGGGCCATGTCTATACAAATTGGCATAGAGCCCCGAGTCTGCTGAAGCTGGAATAGTTGCTATGTCTGAGGCCGTCGCAAGCCAGCACTGGAGAGCATGTGCTGGGCGCTTATTTGCTTACTTACCCCGCAAGTCCAGGACTTTGTGTCGGGCCAATGGATGCCAGCATTTGCTGCAGATCACCGTGTAACCGAAATGCGCGGACAGATGTTTAAAGCCATCCCAAAGCCCCTCACTGTATGCGCATACACCCTTGTTGTTTTGCTTTCGTCTGTCATATAAGAACTACAAGTCTATGTTGTGCATGCATATGGTATCATGTCTTTGTATGTGTGTAAGCATCTATACACCAATCATGTTTGTCCGATCGCTTGTGATGAGAGCTCGTCCAGGCCGTTGGACCAACTTCAGTGGCAGCAGAGAGTGGAGGTTCCAGCTGTGCAGGCTGGATAAGAGTTCGGCACATCATTTGCCAGCGGAAGCTGCATCTTACCACAGCCCCGAGCACAGACGAGAACTCAGGCAGCAGAAAATCGCAAACTCAAACGACAACACCTTCAGACCTTGCAACGCTTGGCCATAAAGGAGGACTTGCAGAGCCGGCTAGTCCAGGGGAGGAGGGAGAGTCTGACCCTTCGCCACATAGGTCTTGAAGCATACCCGAGCTTCCGAAGCACTCCACCTGGGTAAAGAAGACTGAGAACCTTGAAGTTGGAGTGTCGGATGCCCAGACTGTGGGCTTTTCGAACTATTGAAACTCCCCAGGCTCGAAATCCTGAGACTCTCAGGTGACTCCTAATCCTGAGGAGTCCTTGGGTACCCAGACCGTGAAAATTACTATCCTACTGGCAGCATCATATGGGTGACTATAGGGCCTTGTCAAGGTATCCATCGTTCATCTTTCGTATCGGGTAGAAGACCCCTGGCCCCACTTCGCCTTACAGGGTAGCAAACCCTAAGCCTGCTGGCCAGGTCGCACCACCGAAGATTGGACCACCAGCGGGGCCGGTAGCTATCTCGAATTCGGAGAGCCCGCGATCCAGTATTTTAAAGCTCCTCGGTGAGTTTAAAGGCTTGCGTAGAGAACCCACGCCGCTCTCTAAAGTCCTGGGGCGTTCGGAGTTGAGGTGCTGAGTCATACTACAAGTGCTAAGGCACTTTCTTAGGCACGCTCTGAGCAGTGTTGAGAGAGCAGGGCGAGTCTCGTTGCGCTATCTCGGCGTCGGCCCACAAGCACTCACATGGAAGGAGATGAGATGTTGAAGGCAGAAATTGTCGCCGTGTGCTGAACATGCCTTTTTGGCATGTCTGGCCACAACGTCGACACGTGTCGTCGTTCTTGTCGTGAGCAGTGCTGCACTGCTTCCGCTGCTTTGTGTTCCCGACTTTCATTATGCTGTCATTGGAGCAGATGTTTATCCGAGGCTTTGCGGGGCTTGGGGAGCCCTGGCGAAGCAGAACATGCCCAAGTTGTCCTTGGAGCCAGGCCGGAGCCCATCATGTATACTTCATGCGCATATCTCTCTTGTGGACTGCCTGGATGCATGCATGTACATACACAATAAGAAGTATGTATGCATGCACGCCTGTCTTTTGTTGTGCACATGTAACATCATCACAGGTTATACCTATAGGTATCCATCCTCCGTACAACGTCGGCGGTATACATCAATCATCAACTTATTGGTTTACTTACGCAAGCATGCACTCGGCGGGCGGGCGGGCGGGCCGGCGGACCCTCGGGCAGGCAGGCAGGCAGGAAGGAGTCAGGTAGGCAGGTAATTGGCATACATGCATGCAAGGGGGGAGGGAGGGATGGACGGATGGATGGATGTATGTGTACACGTATCAATGCAGGTTCTCTTTCTGGAATCTAACCTGGTTTGCAATTGCGTCGCTCGCAACATGTAACGCGGGCACAACAAAGTCATTGACCACATGTCGAGTCTTGGTGCTGCAGTTGGTCTGTTGTTTCGGCGCTTAAGGTTTCAGCTTCGGGGTCCAGGAACCAGTGTAATGCCATAGGGACCGAAGTCTCAGAAAGTATTCATGTGCTGTGGGGATTGGGGCCTGAACCGGGGTTCATACTTTGTGGCCAAGGTTAACGTAGATCTTGACGGAAAGATCTGCAGGCTCTACCTGTATGCAGAGGCCACGCCAAGAAACGAGCAGAGTTGCTCCACTATCGGCAAGCTCTTGGCGCCACCGCCCCACCTCAGGAAGTGGCTGCTTGGCAGCATTTGCCACATCAAAGCCGTTCTGGGAAGCCTTCACATCAAGTCCGAGGCCACATCCATTCTCGAAGCCACCATCCAACAGCGAAGTCCGAATGCCGGTTCTAGATTCCAGCTTGCTTGAAGTAAAAGATGGGATATCTGAGATCTGTTCGTGTCGAGGGACGGGTCGAGATTTGTCGAGTTAAGCTGGCTTCGGGTCTATGTATTCAATTTGCTTCCAGTGGGCAGATCGCGAGAACAGGTGTGTCGACGTGTTGTTGCCACTGGGACCAGTAAATCATGCCTCCATTGCCGCCAATGTCACGACCGAAGACCATGCAGTGCAGTGAGACAAAATGAACAAGCAGGAGACTAATGCCAATGAAGGGGAGGCCTTGGGAACAAAAGACGGGTGCTCAAGGAGGAATGCATGGATTTGTCACTCACTCGGCATGGCCCTCTGGTTCATGCGAGCCGGCTCAGGCAACGCTGACGTGTGCCCGAGTGTGAGCAAGTCAGAAAGGCCCAGAAGAAGCGCGGCAGCAACTCATTAATTCTAGTTCCTAAGTGTGTGACAGCGTTTGCTCCACCGGTGAAGCCTGGCCATGAGGACTGTGAGCACAGCTGGATTTGGGAATGCTGTGGCATCAGCTGAGCGACGCCGTAGAGGACATCGGTGCTGCTGTCCTACTCATCTTCCAGCTTTCGCGAAGTCGGAAAAGACTTGCAATAAGTTCGGGGCGGGGTCCCGCAACAGTCAGCTGATAAGTTTAGTTTTGCACCGGAGTGCATTCTCAGACCGAGCATTGCCATGTATATAGGTTGTCTTCATACACGAGTAATTAAACAACACTGCCAACGCACGCACACACACACACACACAAGCAGATAAAGGTTGGGGCGAGAATGACACACAGCCCTTTGAAGAGAATCATGCAAGAGCAAAGGATAAGTAGACAGAAGGCTTGCTCGTCGAGTTTTTCGGAGGGTCTGCAGCTGGAAGATGGAAGAGCGAGCAGCACCAAGAAGAGGGGTTTTATTTACCTAAAGCTGGTTTGCGGTGGGCAGCACTACGCGGATTGTACGTACTGGGCTATGGAAGTGAACTAGTTACGGGTTCAGGCAAGTTCGGTGCAGGTTTCTGGCAAGAAGCGATTCGCAGGGCGCAGACGTCCAGCCCTTGCTTCTTACGATCTTCGGGTATTCAACGACCTCGACAGCATCGGCTCGGATGTCTGCAAAGCCTGCAGCCACGGGGCTGTTTGCCTTGCAAGCTATAAGGCAAGCACGGATGGCGGGGACGGGTCTCTAGGCCTGAAAAGACTTGGGTTTTGAGAGAGCGTTGCTTTCCCCGACCTCCGAGCAAGCGTGACGGTTCACTGTGAAAGGGACTGCTGCGGAAGGCAGGTGGCCTTTGATTTGAGCATCGAACGAAGGGCTGGCCCCAGGTAAAGCAGCACCTTGACGGAACAGCACGACTGAAATGATTGTTTCCAATCACAATCACACAACTACGAGCCACGAAAAAATATTTTAAGCCGGCAAGACTGCAGTCAGTTACTTTCACAATGCTTCCGGGCCGGAAGCTTGCTTTCACGCCATGCGGACAAGGCAAAATATCCTGGTGTGCAGTTCAACCACTCGGACTTTGGCAGGAAGGGGTAGTGACCTAAGAAGGTTTCAAGCCGAGCAAAGCTTGAGAGGACTGGCTGCAACAACTGTCCGATGGCGTGATCTCCGAGCCCTGGGATAGCTACTTTAAAAGATCCAACAATGGCTTTTTGCCAGTTTTGATCGGATGACTGCGATGGTCAGGAGCTACAAAGCCGAAGAAGACTAGATCAAGAGGCACCACGCAGGCTTGAGGTTGGGATAGCGCTTTGAACCCTGAATGGGTTACGAATCCGAGGTGCAACAATCAGCAATGTGACTTCTTCCAGAACTGCCCGTCCTAGTGTGAACCAAAGCCGTGTCTCCTCATGCCCTAACACGTAGGCAAAAGTATTCGGCAGTTTGGCTTGAGCTCCTTGGAGAAGCGGCCAAGTTCGTCCAGTCTCAGCCTATGGCTCTGCATTCCCGAGATCCTTTTTGGGTAGTAAAGATTTCGTCATCGTCGTTTCAGCACATGCACGTCGTATCGTGGCGAACGGTTTCGATATGTTTCGATAGAACTGTGCGCTTTCTCGGCTTCGACTCTCCGTTTTCCTCAGAGACCGAGCCGGCCCAGATCCGTTACGCTTAAAACTGAACCCAAAGGCCCATGACTCATGACCCTAAGCTCGAATGTCCTGGATCTCGGGAACTGTGGACCAGCCCGTTCGCGGCTGCATGGCAAGCAGGGGGTTGGCGGCCCTGTACCGGGTTTGAGAGAGGCCGCAAGAGTCAAGGATGAACATCAACGATCGGTGCACCAGAGACACTAGCACAAGCATGTGCATGGCTTAGATGCTGTGGGCTGTTCTGCCTGCGTGGTGGTCTCGTGGCCGTGCAGCCGCCTCGCAAACCAGAGCTCTCACACAGCACGCCACCCACGAAGATGGAATCCAACTGTGATTCAATAGGATGTGCTGACGGATTCCATGTTCGCCTGGGGCATTGTAGGTATCTGCTGTATTGATACCAGAAGACTTTGTCTCAACCTCGATTCAACAAAAGCTGCCACATGCTTTGACAGGGGTGTCTCAACCATGTTCATAGATTTGTACTGCAGTTCAGCTGATTTAGCTAAGGAGATGAGTCCATCCTCTTTGGGTTTGACCTCTGAGGACAAGGACGCGTCGGTGCAGGGAGGTCGAAGGGTTCTGTGTCTACTGCCGATTCCGTGTGAGTGCCTTTGTGTGGCCACGTCCTGATCATATCGTCCCCACACAAGAAGATGGAAGGTTGCGTTCCAGTGTCCAGGCAACGCAGCACCTGCCAGACTTTTGCTTCAAACAACAAGCCGTGAAACACAGTTGTTTTCAGTTCGAGAGCTTCATCTAGTAATCTAGTTATCTAGTACACGTTAGACCTGGCTCTGGCAGGACAACCCCCTGTACATGTACTGCACCTGCCCCGGCATTCACGGGGAGCTGGACCGGGCTGCAGTAAAACACACACCTGCTTTGTTGCTGACATCGCATCCGCAGACGTTACACGCAGAGTCTCAGAAGTCATTTCAGGCACCGGTGGCATCCGCTGCGAGTTCTTCGGTGCTGCCTTGCGAAAGCAAGGCTCAGCTCCAAGCTGCTTACCAGGGTTCTGCCAAGCACAAAGTCTCTGCACAGCCGAACGCGGCTGCTGGCGTCCCTTCAGGCTTTCGCCAAGCGCGGCAACCCAGCCGAGGAAGCAGGAGGCGTTTGTAGTGTGGTTCTCGAGCCGGGTGCCTGCTGCACGAATTTCTCAGCCAGAAATTCCGCGTCCTGATCAGCTGGCATGGAGTCCAGCACCGCAAGCCTGCCTTCATTGGTGGGATTCCTGTGTTCATTGGCTGGTCCAAGGTTTACAAGCTGAGGGGCGGAGTGCAGCATTATGGAAACACTGTCGGTGATGAGGGCTGGAAGGCCAGCCTTTTTAGCCTTTGCTGTCGCAGTGCGATTAGCCTGCGATGTCGCTCGGGCCCGCCTCCAAACATGTTCCACAGGGCCGCCTTTTTGTCTTCGACCGCCGGAACTCCGTGGCCGTTGGAGACGAAGGTGCCTTCCCCAGCATTGTGCAGGGTCTGATGGAAGCATGAAAAGCTGCATCTTGGGGTGCGGCGCGATCGTTGAACCGAACTGTCGTGCGTGCTTCCGCACACAGAGTCTGAAGTGATTTTACGGCCGCTATTGCATGCACGATTCCTTAAGTCAAGACGCACTACATGCACCTCGGTCTTAATCTTTTGGAAGTAGTAGCTGGGGTGTTTGGCAAAGAGCCAGATCAGAATGCAAGAAGACCCAAACAAATCCCAATCCTTGCTGGCTCGAGCCGGACAGTACAGTCAAAGCAGGTTTGTCGCTTGGCTGCCTACTTGCAATGATATGTTTTCCGGATCAAATCTGTCTGGCTAGGTTGTACCCAGCGATGGCTTCGCGTGTGTGTGTGTGTGTGAGAGAGTGTGTGTGTGTGATCAAGTGTGTGCGTGTGTGTGAGTGTGAGTGAGTGAGTGAGTGAGTGAGTGAGTGGGTGAGAGAGTGGGTGAGAGAGTGGGTGAGAGAGTGGGTGAGAGAGTGGGTGAGAGAGTGGGTGGGTGGGTGGGTGGGTGGGTGGGTGGGTGGGTGGTGTGTGTGTGTGTGTGTGTGTCTGTGTGTGTGTCTGTGTCTGTGTGTGTGTCTGTGTCTGTGTCTGTGTCTGTGTCTCTGTCTGTCTGTGTGTGTGTGTTTGTGTTTTTGCGCGAAACATACGTGCGTGCATTTGTTTGTCTGACTGTTTGCAGATAGGCGTATTTGGATATAGATACAAATATATGATATAGGTCGAGAAAGGTCCACATACACCGTGAGATGATGCCTGTTGAGCTGGGGTGCCCTGTCCACACCAATCCCCTGTCAGACATTTTCTGCACAGCGGCCAAGACCCCGAAAAGCAAAACTTGAGCGGCTCTTAGCAGTGGCCAGGGGCATGTGAAGCAAGAGCACCGCATGCAAGAACTAATGGGACCACTGCACACGTGGCCCAGGAAGCGAAGCATCGGGAAATGTTGGGAACGTGATTGCGTGCCGATTTTGCTTTCTGATCACCCTTCATTGACACCTACCACCTGCACCTCCAGGTCCTTCCAGTGACCTGGCTTGTCCACTCTGCGGAAAGCGTGCCGTAGAGGTGGGATTTTGGGGCTGGTTGCGGCGATTTCGGCGTCTCTTGGATTGGTGTCCTTAGAATCCAATGGCCCCAGGAACAGGCAGAAGTAGGCCCATGTGTCAGACAGAGCCAAGATTGCCAAATTCTGTGGCTGATTGCTAGGCCGCTAGGCTTAGAAGAATGTTAGGGCCACAGACTGGGTCAGTGTTTGGAATATTGTTTTGCATTTATTTTGCGTTTATTTTTGCATTTGCTGTTTGCGTTTTTTTGCGCCTTGCATTTTTTTTGCATTTGTTGTTTGCGTTTTTTTTGTGCTTGCTGCCCTGTCTGAGTTTAGCGTTGCGTTTTTTTTGCATTCCTGTGGACCGAGACGGCCGAGGCCCTGCAAAATGCAAAAAGAATGCACACGTAAATGCTGAGAACGACCAAAATTGCAAAGAAAAATGCAATTCTGAAAGCCGCGGCCGGCCAAAATGCAAAAAAAACGCAAGCTAGGAAACCGTGGCCGGCCAAAACGCAAAAAAATGCAAAAGTTAGCGGTCATTACCGAAACCACCAAAAACCTGAAAAAACTGGCCGTTTCCTGGAGCATTTGCGTGTTTTTTGCTTTTTTTTGCGTTTTGTTTGCGTTTTTTTTGCATTTGTTTTGCGTTTTGGCCGGCCACGGTTTCCCGGCTTGCGTTTTTTTTTTGCATTTTGGCCGGCCGCGGCTTTCAGGATTGCATTTTTTTTGCAATTTTGGTCGTTCTCAGCATTTACGTGTGCATTCTTTTTGCATTTTGCAGGGCCTCGGCCGTCTCGGTCCACAGGAATGCAAAAAAAACGCAACGCTAAACTCAGACAGGGCAGCAAACACAAAAAAAACGCAAACAACAAATGCAAAAAAAATGCAAGGCGCAAAATAACGCAAACAGCAAATGCAAAAAAAACGCAAGCCAACATGCCCTGGCCCTGGCCGGAAATTCTTACATGCAAGCCCAGCTGTAGCCTGCTAAGATTCTTATAACGCTAGGCGTCTTATATGGGCTTGGAGAGTCTAGCTACGGTTTTCCTGGGCCTAATCTTTCACACCATTGCTCATCTTTCGTCGTACTTTCCTATAGGTATGACTGCAGTTGTTCTGAGAAGTCCCTGCGTTGAAGCAGTAGAGCGCTCACAAAGGGCAGCACAGAGGCGGAAGATCGGCTGAGTCATGAATTGTCCATTTTGCCTTGCACTAGCCGAGGTCAAT